ATGATTGTTCTGTCTTGCACTTCATCGAATTCTTGTAGACTGTCTCTTTCTCTATTACTTCTCTAATTACATTCTGACTATGAGATGTGATTGTAGTATTTTACACCTGATTCGCCATTATTGAAAATACGTTTTGAAACAAAGGAGAGATCAGTCATTTTCAGAGCATGTCCCTCATACCTCTAACTGTGTATGACAACCTACGCCGGGTATGTTGCTCAATGTTCGCGAGCAGCTCTCAAGCAGATCATTCCGGTATGCGATCTTCACTTATTCTGCTCTATATTTTTTTGAAAATATCTCTATTTCAGAAATTGCTGAGCGAATGATCGCTAACGCATCATTGGCCGACGTGCTGCGATGGCGCGCTGTATCGCGGCGATTTCGCGCAGCAGCACTGCGTCGCCTTGCCCGATACACGACGATCCATGTTCGCGTCTACGATGGTCTATCCACTCTTTATGAAAAGGCATCTTCTATCGCACATGTTGGTAAGTAGAAAGATGATGATGATTGTGGAACGACGTGCTTCTAAGGCAAAATCTTCGTTGTAGATGATCTGAGTTGGCACCCAGCTGGCTGCCTCCTGCTGAGCGAAATGGGAACGCACGAGCTTGGCATCGCACTCGATTCGCGACCAAAATGGAAAGATGTGAAGATATTGGTAGCATTGCTAAATGTGTTCCGGGAGAACGCTATACAAATACAAATGGACAGTCCAATAGTGGAGCTTCTTGTGAAGGAGGTCAGTTTAGACCGATAGAAGTGTTTTCAATCTGTCGTTATCAATTTACTAACTGTCAGTTTTTTCAAGGTGAACACTAAGAAGATCAACGCATTACTGGTGTTCTTCAATCAAAATCGTAAATGTGACAAGGACTTCACATGCGAAGAGACTACCATTACGCCCATGATGAAAAGCCAACTTCCGATTGGCCCATTATTCCCTGCGCTGAAGAAGTTCACTGTTATTAGCAATGTGAGTCGTGAACTAGAGCATATTCCCCAACAAATTCTACCATACATCAAGCTAAGCGACCCTCCGCTTGCGAATTATGCCATACGACACCTAGCCGGCGCAGTGAACGGCATACAGCATCTTGCAGATCACTTCACAAAACCCTTAAAACCATAACTTGGAATATTTTTGTTTCCACTCTATCTCCAGTAAATCGTTATGCAATAAACCAAACCTTTTCTTTTTCAGCCGCAACAACTCAGTCATCTTTCACGTCTTATACACTATGCTGTTGCCGTGGATATGATTTACCAGAAGAAGGAAATTGATCTCGTCTGCTTGCAGGTATGTTTTATAAGGAATCAAAACTTTATAAATTTCATCGGTCCTGACATGACAATGATTAGTGGAAGTAGACAATAAATTACAATGAATAGCAATGAATAGCAAACTCATACTCTTTATGAGGTAATTTGTATAGTAGGAGAGCTAATAGTTGTGAAATAAGCGAGATGAACGTCCTGGATCATTTCCATGACTCCATCGCAGACTTCGATTGGACTTTTCATCGGAGTAGTCCAACCAATAAAACATG